GGCGAGCACGGGACACTGCTCCTGCTACTGCCAGTCCCTCTGCTGCACAGGTACATGAATTTATCCACTCCACTCCTAGAGGTTTCTCTCCTCCCATCCCAGCCGCTTCCTTATGCCTAGAGGGGTTGAAACTGCTCACAACAATGCAAAATGGTTCCTTGCTAAACACACAACAGCAGTACCATACAGGTCACACTCTTCCTAAAGAAGTTAGCACTTTCTCAGGGGAAATTCGTTCTTGCTCCTCAGTGAGCTGAGAATCACTGAGGGCACCGCGACCACCACCTGGCAGTCACCAAGTGCGTGCCCAGTGCCCGTCTCACCCAAAGCACTGTAAGTCACTGGAGACTCCAGCTGGCTGCGAGGAGCTCCCAGCATGGAGCAACAGGCTTAGGAGGCTAAAGACAAATAATAATAATAATAATACCCACACACATCGCATCGCACATCGACTCCACCACCTCTCTCCTGCACAGCGGTCCCGGACCCGGCACGTCGCTCGGCCTGCCCAGGAGCCGCCTGGCAGCCCGCGCCCACACACGGCTCAGCAGCAGCCGAGCTTGTTCCTTCCCCTCTCCAGAGCCAAATTCAGACCATCTGTTGAAGTATTTCTGCAAATCATCCTTCCCTCAGGAAGGGCCGGGGGCTGAGTTTAGTTATTTATATAGTGTCTGGCATTTCTGTAGCACTTATCACTTCAATATCCAAGCTATTTCCCTCCAGCTCTGAAGAACCAAAGCAGGGCATCAGTGAGTCTTCACAGTAACTTTTCTGCAAAAAAAGTGATGCTGCAAGAAAGCTGCTCAGGTCAGGCACATATTTTGCTGCTAACGAAATACGTGGGACTGTTCATGCAAAGGCCAACACAATATGTTTTATGTCCTTTAGAAGAATTACTACCCATATAAAATAGTCTCCATAAACAACAGCTGTTCCCAGAGAACAAGATGAACCAACAAGTGTTCCTGCTGCCTTACGGAGGCGAGCACTGCTTATCCAGGACATGGAGAAGGAAGCTATGCCCGTGCTTGAAAAGACTGACACAAAACTAAAAGGGAAAGGGAAGCACCCAGAAGGAGATGCTGTTTATTATGGCGGATCACCCGGCCCTGCCGCTGCTGTTTGCAAACAAGTGGCAAAGCCCGGAAAGGCAACGCGGCTCTCCCTGTCAGATGGCAGGAGGCAAGGCTGGAGATGGATATTTTACTGCTTATCCAAGGCCATGCTCCAAGGCTGCAGCAAAAGAGGGGGTAGCACCCAAATTCAGGGTGAGCCCCTGAAGTGTCCTGCCTCTAAAAAGTACCTCCTCCTTCTTTTCTTCCATATACACTCCAAACCACCATGCTACAAGGAACACAGAGCTGAACAGGGCACCAAACTCACTCCCAGCTTGCACATAACCTTGGGGAAGGTGTTTCTCTCCCATCTGCTACCAGCAGGAAACAAGGAAGTGCACACATCTTCTCTGCCCCAGCATTGCAAGCAGGACACCCAGCAAGAGGCTCAGGTGCTGTGCTCATAGGGAGGCAGCGCTCAGCAGCAGCAGTGACAGATGTGCTGTTCCAGACTGCAGAGGCCACATGCTACCACCTCCATGCACTCAATTATTCAAGCAAATCCAGTGCTCATCCTAGCTAGGAGCTTTGAGATCACCCAGCAGAGCCCCTTGCTAAATAGAAAGGATCGACTGGAAGCTGTGACTGAACTCAAAAATGAGAAATCAGAGCAACAAGACCAGGTTCTTGCTTGATTGAACCTCAAGAGATCACTCTTACAGCACCCCTCTCCTAGCAAAAAGACCTGCCAAAGGTCTCGCGTCCTTGTGCCATAGCTAAACAGCATGCAGCCTCCCTCCCCGAGCACAGCGAGGAGGGGAGCTTCTGCAGCAGAAGATCCTCCTCCCTTTTATAACCTGGTTTGAAAATCCAAGCAAATCCAAGCAGGTCTCCAGTTGTGAGACCTGTCTTTTCCACTTTCTGTCAGCTTCTGCCTCCTTCCCCCGGGCACATGTTTCCTCCCAGATCAGAGAGACACAAGGTAAAGCTGTGGGTTCCCACTGCCTCAGAAAACACGAAAGAGTCTCCCTGGAAAAAGAAGAAAAAAAGAAAAAGGAAGGCAAAGCACAAATGGCTTCACCAAAGCAGCCTTGCCAAGATGGCCATGACTCAGTGCAGACTGCGGACTGCTCTCGCGTGGGGAGCAGCACCATGACACAGTGGAGAAATGATTTATTTAAAAAGGTGGCACACACATGCATCAGCAGAGAAATTCACCCACGTTGAAGTCAGCCTCTCTCCTCCTGGTCACTGGAGGCATGCCACAGAGCCAAGAAAGACAAGACATGCACACAGCACTCGCAGCCCGCCCCACACTAGCATGGCACCAAAGGAAAGAGCGCGGCACAGGGAGGCACAACAAGGTACAGCCACCTGGCTGCAACAGCACCAGTGTGGGCACCACTCGCTTAAGGGCTTTGCAAATTAAACCTAAGATTGCATTCCTGTGAACAGCTCTCCCTGGGCCCATTAAACAAAGATCCAAACAGACCCCTCCCCAAGTTAAATAAACTGCATCCCATCACATTTCCTCTGGCACAGGAAACAAGCATCCCTGCCTGGGTGCCTTTCCCCTTCTCAAGCAAATAAACTCCATGGGGGCAACCATCAAGACAGAGCAAATATTTAACGTTTTTATTTGCAGATGTGTAAGAGACAGATGTGCCAGGGCCAGACAGAAATCCAAACCGCCCAGAGTGACAAGGTCTTTCCACTGGGTTTGTTTGGGCTCTTGCCTTGTTTTCTAAAGCTTTTGCGCCCCCGCTGCTTTATCTTGACAACAACTGGAACAACCTGCAATCAATACTGCAAGGTTAAAACAACACCCAGTTTTATATTGGACAGCTCAATCCTCCTCCTCCTTCCTGCTATCTTTGTGCTGGAAGGCAAACAGAAGGGGGCAGGAAAAAGTTACTTATCTCCTGTTAGGATTAGCTGGAGCAACTCAGCGTCAGCTCTAGCACTCTGCCATGCCACCACGCAGGGGCTCCTGGCTGGATGTTGATTCCCTCTCTGATGAGACACAGCAGAGGGCTCAGCCTTGCAGAAGGCTTCACGTAGCTGCGGCGCCAGCGAAGCAGACGTGCATGGTCACAGCGGGCGCCTCTTCCGCAGCCGCCTGTCACTTCTACTCATGCCTCCCTCCAGAGACACCTTCGCTGCAGACGGTCGAGGGAAGCAGCTCCAGCGAGGCTAGAGCCCATGCAGCCATTCATGAGAAATGCACAATAAACCGTACGCGCTGTGTACGGCACATTCATGCGCAAGGGAAATAAACCCAGCATGCTGGCTTGCACAGCCAGCATTTGTCGCTCATTTGCCATTGTAAGTAATTGCCATGTTTCCACTTGTAACTTTGCAGATGTTTGGATACAGCAAAGAGAGCCCAATGCTGCCAACAAAGGGGTCAAAGCATTTCTCCAAAACACACCAAATTAGAGAAGCAGGGTAACATATACCCAGAGGCAGAAGGCATAAACACTCCTCGTTTACCTGCAATAGCAGGAGGCAGGGCACAGGGGCCAGGTAGATCCTTCCCCATCCCGCATTTCTATTACTGAAAGAAAACCAGAGATACACCTCATTGTGCATTGCTACGTATTTAAACAGGTGAGCAGAGTTAAGGCTACGCAGGCAACTAGGAGATAAGCCCGTCCAACTGAAGGCCTCCCAGGATATTAATAAACTTATAAATGACAGGTTAAAGAGGCTCCATGCCTGGGCTTTTCATGCAGCCTGAGGGCTCGCACACTGCAGCCCAGCCTCCGCTGCTGCAAGCTGAAGTGCTCCACTGCCTCTGGCTCAACTGCATTAATTCACTCCTGTCGCTGGTCAAGGTGCACGGCTCCGGGACACCGTGGACCGGAGAGGCGGTGCGGGGGGGAAGCAGAACAAAAACAAAACAAAACAGCAAAGAACAGACACACTCCAATGAAAAGGAGAGCCAGGAAGAAGGCGGGCTTAGGAGAGATGCCTATCTTTGCTGAAGCAACCCACGCCACAGAAACTCCCTTGATCAAGCATTTGCATCCTAATGTGACACACGTGATCTACAGCAAGTGGGACTGCAAGGAAACTCGCTGTCCCAGCTCTCTAACCATGGTTTGGTTACACATTACCTCTCCAGGATCTCCTGAAAACACAACAAAAATTATTCTGCATTTCCCTCTCCACCCCTCTTCCGCCAGCCTTGGGGCCTAGTCCAAGGCTGTTTGATGTCATTCCAGCAGCACAGTATGATTTTTAGGTGGATGGAAGCAGCCCGTTACAGATGCGCGCTGCGCGCGGGGCCTTGACAGCACTGGAAAGTTGGCAGCGTGAGCAACTTGCGGCTTCCTGCCCCCACGCTGGCTCAAGGATCAAGTGACAAAAGTCGGCATCATGCTGGGATGAGGCAGACCGGCCACGGGCCAGCGCGGGGCAACACGATCCCCTCCACAGCCCCGCTCAACCCCCTCCCCAGCCCAGCTCACTGCTGCTGCATTTTCGCCTCTCCCCACACATCCAGCCCCACCAGCCTTCAGCCCCAGAAATCTCCCAGGAACATCCCGCTCCCAGGAGCATCCAGCTCCGGTGAATTTGGCGATGACCCACCAATAACAGTGTATTTCCAAAAGACACACAGTCAGGGGAAGGAGACAGCTGAGAGGTTTGGCAGCATCCATGAAACGCGTGGCACCTTGGCCACTCCTGCAGCAAAGCTGGCTCCTGCTCCTGCCCTTGGAAAGGAGCAGAAAGGAAGATATTTCAGTGCTACACCACACCTAGGTGCTTCTTGGCGAGCCAGGAGAGATTCATTAGTCACTCCTAGGAGAGACTCCTCAATTTTGGCTGGCTGAAGGTTATTCAAATACAATCCAGAGCATCAAGGAACCATTAACCATTTTCAATGTTGCACAGGCATCACATAGCAAGGCTGTTTCCCAGATCAGGCATTGTCCCTACCTTACTGCAACCACTGTTTCTAGGGAAGCTGCTGGGTCCCTAGTCAGAGGTAGTTTAAATGCCGGCTATAAACGTGGTTAACTCCACCCAGATACGACATGTTTTCACCTCTGCTTTTAGCCTAAAAAAAAAAAAAAGAAATAGGAAAAAAAAATCCCTGCTGCCCTCCAGAAAAGCTCTTCCCTCCTGATGTATTTCACAACTGTCGGCATGAAGTTATGCAGAAATCACTGTATGGACGCGTGAAAGGCCTCGGGCTCCTAGGGGAGGCTCTGTCCGCTGCCGGGCTGTGGCAAAGGGAGCGCGGGTGCAGCCAGGCCCCCAGGGCACGGCAACTCCAGCGGCTTTGCCACACAGGTCACCTTGGCCCTGCTGCAAGCATGCAGCGGGAAGCCCAAGCGGGCAGGGGGCTGCTTCCACGCGCAGCCCATGGGACTCCTCCTCATGGGCTCCGCTCACTTAAATTTTGGCAGGAAAAGGGGAGCAAACGGCCTCCATCCGACAGGCTGTCAGCGGCTCCCACTCCCTTGTCACCTAAGACGGCGCGTGGCGGTGGTGGGAGGGCCTGGCGGGCGCCGGCATCCCGGGAAGACATTAACAGGATTGCTGGGCATCCTCTCGGGCACTGGCTCCGCTCCCGAGCGCTGCCTGCTCTGATTTACGAGGTGCCCCCCCGGCCAGCCCTGCCGCCACCGAGCACCCTCAGAATGGGACAGCTGGGGACCAACGGGCACCGGCATCACCACCACCCTCCCCAGCGACCGTTGGGGGCCAACGGCCGCGGGCATCACCACCACCCTCCCCAGCGACCGTTGGGG